TTTAGTACAGGGTCTCACTATGTAGATCAGACTCTGTTTTTAGCCTCCCAAGTGCTGGGATTACAGGTGTGCACCACCATGCACACCCTGCGGGCAGAGCTGGCATGGCACGCTTGGGATCAAACCCGGCCCCTACACTCTGTCTGAGCAGGCGCTTTAGTCTGCTGATCTATCTGGCTGACCCTAGAATGCAGTGTCTTTAAAAACAAAAAAAAGGAGTAACTACCTGCTCGGGCACCCCCTCCTGTCCTTCTCTCAGGACAAGAGCTTTCTTTCTCTCAATAAATATGTTCTGCTCATAAAAAAAAGTATCAAGGTAGATATTACTGCTTAACTTCGTAGAATTTCTGGTGGTACTCCCAACTTTCAAAATGCCCATTTTATTTTCTGTTTATTGTAAAGAAGCTCATAGTTTAAAAATGGATCTTTATGTAAATACTTAAGGGTCTGCCAGATTAAAGCCCCTTAGGCAGTCACAGGGACCAGGGTTCGATCCCCCGTGTGCCATGCCAGTCCCGCCCCAAGGCTGCGCTGAGATGAAGACTGAGACTGGGTATGGTGGTGCATGCCTGAAATCCCAGTGCTTGGAAGACTGAAAACAAGAGTTATCACTATGAGTTTGAACTGTGTAGTGAGACCCTGTAGACCCTGTACTAAATACACAAAAAAGTAAAAAACAGAGATAATATAAACTAACTTTCAAACAGTGTTTCCTTTAAAACTCATAGAGTAATCTTCTGTATTTTATACCGTGAATATGTATTTTTATAATTAGGAAGGGAAGTGTACATGCACAAAGAAACACATCTTTTCTGTGTGCAGTGTGCGCTAGTAGCAGTCTTGTTGTTACTTCCTGTGCCTTAATCTCTGTCCCTATCCTGCAAACCTTGAAGTAAGAGATATCTGAGGAAGCAAGTGTCATTACACCCTTGAGAAAGGAATTCAGTGGAAAAGAACATCTTGAAATCCCAGCACCCTGGGAAGCTAAGGGAAAAGAATCACAGTTTCAGGCCCAGCCTGGGCAATTTAATAAGATCCTTTCTCAAAATATAAAAGATCTTGGAGCTGTAGCTAGGTGCAAAGACCTTGGATTCAATCCCCAATACTACACACACAGGAAATGGAAGTCTTGGATATATATGATCTATACTCACTGTGTAACTTTGTCAAGCATGTTAACATCTTTATCCTTATTCCCTCCTCAACAAGGTTGGATAATATTAACATTTATCTTCTTGGGAGTTGTTGAAAATGAAATATGTAATACACTTAGAGCAGTGTGTGGCACATACTGAATACTCACTAGAAGTTAGTGGTAAAGTGGTGATAATGGTGCTAATCTAATAATAGGGAAGAAATAATAGTAACAATAACAAGCATTATTCTGAATTGTTTGTTTTTTTCTTCCAGTGCTGGAGTTGGGTCAGGGAGATGGCTCAGTAGAATAAACGCTTGCGTGCAAGGGCCTGAGTTCAATCCCTGATTCTGAAAAAAAAAAAAAACAAAAAAAAACAGGGGCTTTGCACATGCTAGCCCATCACTCTACTACTGAGCCATATTTCTAGCCTAAGGACTCCTTATATATTTAATTGATTTAATCCTCACAAACAGTACTAGATACTTGTTACTGTTTTTACTATTTCCATTTTGCACATGATGAAACTGTGGCACCTACAAATTAAATAACTTCCTAAAATTACAAAGCTAGTAATTGGTGGTAATAGCACTCAAATCAAGGCAATCTGGCTCCAGAGTGCTCTTAACCACTTTTGTATTATATCACTTCTCTAATAGCAGGAATAATCATTTTATTAGATCCTTCAGCTTGTTAAAGGGCTTTGATCCCAAATTACTAGGTGTATTGCTAGAAAGCCTAAATTAGACTACATAATTATGAACACTCCTTCATTTATTTACTTTTCATTTCACCCTTATTACTAAAATTAGCTGGGCATGTGGTGCACACCTGTGATCCTAGTACTCTGGGAAGCCAGAATAGGGGACTCTTACAAGGTTGAACACTGGGAAATTTGGTCATTTATCAGGACCGTGTTCAAAATATTTTTAAAAAATTTTTTGGGGACTGGGGAGATGGCTCAGTGGAGTAAGCGCTTCCTTGGCAAGCGCAAGGGCCCGAGTTCAATCCCTGGTGCCACAAAAAAAAAGAAAAAAAAAATTTTTTTTTTTTTAAATCTTCTTTATTTGGTGCAAAGTCTCAGTACACAGCATAGACTCATTGTGATCCTCCTGTTTCAACCATCCCAGTGCTGGGATTACAGGCATGCACCACCATTCCCGGTTTCATTTGCCAGCACATGGTACCGGGAATCGAATCCAGGTCCTTGTGCTAGCCAGGCAGGCACTTAGACTGCTGAGCTATCTCCCAAGCCTACATTTTTTTTAAATGTTAAGAGAAATGAACTGCATCTTAGTGCAGAGGCTTTGTGTTCAATCCCAGTACTGAAAATAGTAATAATAATGATAGGTGGATGAGAGATAATTACAGTTGAGGAAATGGTATGAAAAAGTAAAATACAGTGACCTAAATACAGTTAGAAATTGCTAGATTAAAAAAAGTTCTATTGTACAGCAATTAACCACTAAGAAGAATATATGCAGTATATTAGTTATTGAAACTGTACTACCAATTTGATTTGAAACTGTCTCATTGCTGTTTATCAATAAAATTTTGAAAAAAAAAGTTCTAATAAAAAAAAGAAATTGCTAGAGCAGTGATATAAAAAAGCATTTTTCAAGCTTAGGCAAACTGGACATGGTGGTAGATCTATAATCTGAGCATTTGGGGAGGCTGAGGTAGAAGGATCAGCTTAGCATTTTAACAAGATCCTGTCTCAAAATAAAAAATACAAAGAACTGGTGATACAGAGAACAGTGCAGAGGCTAATGTTCAGTCTCCAGTACTGAAAAAAGGCATAATTGGATAGATTAGGAATTGTTCTCTTTATGTACTTTTATAAAGCCCAGCTGGTTGGTCCATGTAGCAATAATTCAAACTGTTCCCTGATAGCAGTGCCTTACATGGCCAAAATAATACCTGAGTCAGTAAAATAGTTTCTGATTTTCTGGGTGTAAATCTAGACTTACAGGTAATGATTGTGGATGTCTGGGGGATAACAAGGGTGGAGGTGGATATACATTTTAAACTGTGTTACTAAGAGCTTTTCATTATCAGATGCTTTATTCATTTCAGACATGTCATAGTCCCTCAGAGAAAATCAGTTTTATTTTTTTTCCTTTTTTCTTTTTTTTTTTTTTTAAATGTATTTGGTACAGGGTCTCACTACACAGCTCAGACTCTTAGTGATTCTCCTGTTTGCAGCCTTCCCAGCACTGGGATAACAGGAGTGCGCCACTATGCCCAGGCTCAGTAGCTGGCTCATTGTGCCCAGGGATGGGGCTGACACAGCTTGTGGTACTGGGTATCAAACCCCAGTCCCTGCACTTGCCTAAGCAGTTGTTTAATCCACTGAGCTATCCTAACAGCCTATCATTTTTCTTTTTTTTTTTTTTTTCTTAGAGAAGGGTCTACAGGGTGTTCAGGGTCTCACTACTAGATCAGACTCATAGTGATTCTCCTGTTTACAGCCTCCCAAGAGCTGGGATTACAGGCACACACCACCACGCCGTCTCAATTGCTGTCTCAATATGCCCCTGGGGGCGGGGGGCAGGGTGGCACAACAGGCCCAGGGATCAAACCCTCAGCCCCTGCACCTGCTTGCAGGTGCTTTAATCTGCTGAGATATTTGGCTGGCCCTCATTTCTTACTTTAATACTAGTTCTGCTCTGGGGTAGAATAAGCACTTGCCTGGCAAGTGCAGGATCCTGAGTTCAATCCCTGGTACCGCAAAAAAATAAAGTAAAGTAAAGTAAAGTAAAGTAAAGTAAAGTAAAGTAAAGTAAAGTAAAGTAAAGTAAAGTAAAGTAAAGTAAAGTAAAGTAAAGTAAAATAAAATAAAATAATGCACTGGGGCCTGGGAGATAGCTCAGTGGAATAAGTGCTTGCCTGGCAAGCACCAGGTCTTGAGTTCAATCCCTGGTGCCACCAAAATAATAATAATAATTAAAGGATAAAAATAGAAGTAATGCTTACTAATTCCTAGCACTTAGAGGTCTAGGCAGGGGGATTGTTGTGAATTCACAACCAGCCTGGGCTACAAAGTGAGCTCAAGGCAATCCTGAACTGCATAGCTAGACCCTGTCTCAAAAAGAACAATACATACATACATAAAGTGCTTACTAATAAAATGGTTCACAAATAGTGACTATTATTGATGTCTCTACATATATTTTCTAAGGAAAATGTTAATTTTTATAGATGGTAATTTCAGAAGTGTACACTATGTACAGGTATCATAGGTTGGAGCACTTAGAGTTAACTGTTTTTAAATTGTAATGTTGGGCATGGTGCCGCACACCTGTAATCCCACCACATAGAAGGCTGAGACAGGAAGGTCACTGAGTTTGAAGCCATCCTGGGCTACATAGTAAATCCAGGGCAGCCTGAATTACATAGTGAGATCCTGTCTAAAAAAGAATGGTGTTACACACTTGTAATCTCCGCTTTTGGGAGGCTGGACTACATACTGAGTCCAAGGCCAGCCTGAACACATAGTGAGATCTAGTCTAAAAAAAAATAATAATAATATTTTCCACTCATATTGGAATCGCCTACCAGTTAAACAGTAGTAGAAACTAATAACTCTTATTTACCAGCACTTACTTTGGCAATGTAGTAATAGGAACTGAGGGGCTGGAGATAAAACTCAGTGGTACGATGTATACTTAGCGTTCATGAGGCCTTGGGTTCAAGTTCTAACACTGCAAAAGGGAAGCAGAAAGGAGCGAGGACCTGTAAAGGTTGATCTTATTGCTCATTTAAGTAATATTTCAAGTTAAAAGTAATCAAACATGGGATAAGTATACGTATTTATGCATTTTTTAAAGTGCTTTCAAACTCTCAGATACATTTTTTAACCTTTGTTGTGTTTAAACTTTAACAAAAAAAATCTAGGTTGGAAGAAGTGGCAATATTCCAGCTGGAACAACAGTTGATACGGACATTACACACCCATATGAGTTTGATTTTTACCTTTGTAGCCATGCTGGAATACAGGTAAGCCTACATCTTGGGTAAAATGTCTCAATTCAGAACTTCAGTTCGTGTGTGTGTGTGTGTGTGTGTGTGTGTGTGTGTGTGTGTGTTTTAATATATTTAGGCTGGAGAGATATCTCAGTAGAATAAGTGCCTGCCTGGAAAATGCAAGGTCCTGAGTTCAGTCCCTGGTACTGCCAAAAAATAAATAAATAAATATATTTAGTATAGGGGGAAAAATTATAGTATAGGGCCTACAGAGTCTCACTACACAGATTGAATTTGTAGTGATCCTTCCTGTTTTTCAGCCTCCCAAGCACTGGAATTACAGGCATGCACCACCATGCCCATTCTCAATCATTGGTTCAGCACACCCTGGGGACAGGGCTGGCTCAGCAGGCCGGGATCAAACCCTTGGCCCCTGCATCTGCCTAAGTAGACACTTCAGTCTGCTGAGCTATGAGACCAGCCCTCTTATGTGTATTTTTTTAAATCTCAGCAAAAGGAAAAAGAAATATTTTCATCTTCATTCCAAGCTGTTTCCATATGAAATCAGATTAAATTTTCAGTAAATAAGTATATACCTGACCCTTACTTTAAAAGAGGTTTAGGGCTGGTGAGATGGCTCAGTGGTCTAAAGCACCTACTTAGAACAAGCTCAGCAAAGCACAGGGACCGCGGTTCAATCTCCCAGCACCACATGCCAGCCAGCCCCGCCCCCTGGTGGGCTGAGCTGACCCCCCCAACACACACATAAATAAATAAAATTTTAAATAAATAAATAAATAAATAAATAAATAAATAAAAGAGGTTTAGGCCGGGGAGATGGCTCAGTAGGATAAGTGCTTCCCTGGTAAGCACAAGGGCCTGAGTTCAATCCCTGGTTCTGCCAAAAAAAAAAGGGGGGGGGTTATATTGTTTGTAATGGAGTGGGGTTTTTTTGTTTTTTGGTTTCTTACTATTTTATATTCTCTTTAGATAATAAAGAGAAAAAAATAAAAGAGGTTTATTTTTATGAAAATAGCAGAATACAATTAGCTTAATAAAACATATATCCCTATAATTGGGTCCTTAATTTAACCCAAAACTTCAAAATAAAAATAAAAATAACTCCTTTGACAGATAACTTTTTTGGTGAATATATTTCATAGAAAACTTTAATTTACTAATAAATATTGAGTAAGAATACTTGATTATAGAATTACTGCTTTAAGTTTCATGTAGATGATTTTAAGTCTTTTGGGTTTGTTTGTTTGTTTGTTTGTTTGTTTGTTTGTTTTTTGGTGGAACCGGGGATTGAACTCAGATCCTTGCGTTTGCCAGTCAAGTGCTTATTCTACTGAGCCATCTCCCCGGCCCCAAGTCTTTTGTTTTTAAAACAAATCTTTTCATTTGTTCACTCAGTAAAACATAGCCACCACAGAACATTTAATTCAGTGTGTCTTAATTTTTTCAGCAACAGAAAATAAGCCCACATTCCCAGAACAGCTGAGCAAATGTAGCCCAAAACTATTTTAAGTTACTTAGGGTGTGAGTGGCGCTACCCAAAAGGCTTTAGCTTTGAAGGGATCAAAAGACAGAGGCTTGCTGCTGCTGCTTGGTACCTGTTGCTTTTTTTCTGGCTGCTCTGCCACGGACTGTTTCTACTCTCTAATGTTTTTCTGCCATATCACATTGCCTTGGAGCCAGCTGACTGTGGCCTGACTCTTACTCAAACTGTGAACTGAGAGGCCAGAGAGATAGCTCAGAGGCATAAGCACCTACCTGGCAAGCATAAGGATCCAAGTTTGATTCGCAGCCCCAGATGTCACATGGTCTCAGCCTCAGATCCCTGAGCAGTGGGAGTGCCAGCGGTAGGAGTGCCACTCACACCCAGGGAGTGAGCCTGAGGGCCCACTGTGCAGTCCAGAACCGGGCTTGGTGGTGTGTGCCTGTTATCCCAGCACTCAGGAGGTTGAGACAGGAGGAGCTCTGCAAGTTCAAGACCAGCCTGGGGACTACAAAAGTGAGCACAAGGCCAGCCGGAACTGCATAGTGAGACCCTGTCTCAAAAAAAAAAAAAAAAAAACTGAGCTAAAATAACCTTCTTGAACTTGTGTCAAGTATTTTGTTCCGGTAATGATGCAGTTACTAAGACAAAGCCAGGGAGAGGAAGGAAATAGGGGTAAGATGCACCCTTCCAGTTTAGGCCCCAGTGACCTGCCTCTTCCACCCGTGCCCCATCTCTTAACACATTTAACTGGGAACTCATCAGTGGAGTAATCCACCAGTGAATATAGCACCCCTGGCCCAATCACCTTCCAGAAGCCCTGTCTTTGAACACATGAGCCTATTGGGAGATGTTCTTGATCCAACCCTACCATTGTTCCACTCCTCTGCCAGTGTTCTTTTTATCTGTTCCTCTGTACAGCCAGTCTTATCTATTTTTAGGGTGAGGTTAACATCAGTTAGCAAAAAACATCAGTTAATGACTCTCAGGGATAGAACCTGTGTCACTAGAGTAGCATATGTTTTACCCTCGTTTTCCTCCCTATATTAACTACCTTTACAGTTTAAGTAAACATCATATAGCTCAGTGGCATAAGCACTTGCCTGGCAAGCAGAAGGTCCCAAGTTCAATCCCCAATACTGGAAAAAAATAATAATAATAAACAAACATCATAGAGGAGAAAAAAGGGTTCTTTTTTCAAGTAAGTTTTAGAAATACTGTCCTGGGTGGTTTTTTTGTTTTTTTGTTTTTT